ATTTAGTCTAGCTAAATTAGTTATGTTTGGAAATAACTTTTTAGCTTTTTTGTAAAGAAAAAGTGAAATGATTATGATTTAGATGTGATATTTTGTCTTATTAGCTTATTTAGCCTATTTTGTCTTTTGTGTTTTTTTAGTCTCAATCTAAACCCAACTCACTTGCCAAAATAGTCACATAGATTAATAATTACAATTCTACACATCGAACAAGCCGTAGATGCTTTGATGCCTTCGTATTCTTCTGAAAATATAAAATAACCTTTATAATCATTACCAAATATCACTTTACTTCCTCATTTATGAATTCATACATTTTGATTACTTCAATTATGAAAATATATAACATTTACTTTCTTTAGACTATCTCCCAAAAAGATGTATTTATACGATTTTCCAAAATTAATGAGATCAAAATATTTAAATTTGTAAATAAAAAAAGTAAAATAATATTCACTAACAATTTACTTCTAATAAAATTCCATGCCATCCAAATGATAAATGCTAACACAGCAGCCTACAATGAAAAGATGGCAATCAATGGTGGTCGATCATCATTAGAGGTGCAACTCTAGTGGCTTGAGGTGCTGCATAGGTTGAGTTCGAGTTATGTTGAAAATTGTTCAAGTCCATTCAAGCTTAATTTGTAATTTGATATCTCTACTCAAGTCTGACTTGGGCATAAGTCTGAATGGCTCGAATTGTCAGAATTTTACACAAATTTGAGTTGTTTATTATTATTATTATTATTATTATTATGTGTATGTGCAGCTAGGCTAATTAATGTATTAAAGTTAGACCTTCTTAATATTTTTTAAAATCATTGATAGTATAAAAATAAATAATTTATACGAAAAGAGATAGGGATAAGAATTGAAGAACTATTGTGTCAAAAATTTGTTTTAGAGGAGAACAAAATAAATATAGCAAAAAATAAATATATATCTTTTAGCAAAAGTGAAATTTTAACATATAATTTAAGGGAGGAAAAAAACAATATTGAGAAACCATTGAATTTATATTAATCAATAATGAAATTCATAGGATTATGTACGATTATAAAATAATTTGGTTATTTCATCTTGAAGTATCTTAAATTTGATGAAAAAGTACTCAAAAATTATCTCCAATCAGGAGAAATCCGTGTCACAACATAGATACTGTGACAACACCCACTTCATGTCCCTTTCACTCAAGCAAAACTCATCTTGTGAAAGCAGGGTGCTTACAAATGTTTAATTAATTTAAATTTATTAAGACTCTCATCGTATAATTACAAATATTTAAATGATTTAATTTTTTATATATAATATATTTGACAAATTTTATAATACAAATGATATATATTATCAAAAGGGCAGAGCTTCTCTCCAATTTATTTTCTAAACTGAACGGTACTATTAAACCCATGAGACCCATCATGAGACCTATTTTGATCATCCGAAACGTTTAATATATAGAACTCATCGAGTACTTTCACTCTATAGAAAATTATATTGATCGGATATCAGTAACTCCTTGATTAGATCATATTTTTGTCAACGATAAACATAATTTAAAAAATAAATTATTGAGAAAAATATGTGCTAATAAAGTATCTATTGATATCTGATCAGCATAATTTTTTACAGAGACGAAATACTTGATAAACCCTACCTATTAAATCATTTAAATTATTAAAATAAGACTTATAACAAATATTACAAATTCAATAATACTATTCAATTCATTTTATAAACTGAAAAAAAACCTCACCCTTGTCAAAATTAAGTCCGACATCAACCAAAAACAGTGTCCCCATGTCGCACAAAGCTCTTCCGCGGACTGCGCAAGACATTTTTCCGAATAAGGATGATAGTCATAGTCTCTTCGCCTCTCCCTGTGATATACAGCTCAGTTGTCTATTTTTTGAAGAATAATGTTGTATGTATTAATTAATGTATTAACTAGTGTATCAATTGACGATGTGGTATAATTTAAGAAATTTTTGATATATGTAATATAATTAATGAATGGGATCAATAATAATATCATAATTAGTGTTCGTATACTATATAGTACACTAATTGATACATGTAGCACCACCAATTTTTAAAGGATCTATTTTTGAAAAAAAACAATGATTTATAATGAGACCCACGAACCTCACAAGTTTTCACAAATTCTAAACTTTGGGAAAGTCTAGCCTTGTAACGTAATTGATAAGAAAGAAATTTCTAGGAGATGTCACACATCAATGATTAACTTCACAAAATATTTAAGGATCGTTTGATAACACTTACGTTTTCAATAAGAATATTTATGCTTTATAATATAAAATAACTTTCTAAACCTACAATAATGAAATTCTCTCAAACTTTTATTTATACATAATTTTAACATAAAAAATCATTATTGTAAATATAAATTATTTTTATGAATATTTTGCTTTAAATTAAAAGGTTGTCATTGACCTATATTATTTTGTATGAATTTTCTATTTATATATTATTACTCAAAAATAATAATGACAATCATTTAAGTAGATTTGTCCTTAGTTGTTTTGATTTTAAAATGATTTTAAGAGGTTGTTTTGGAAGTGACTATTTTAATTTTTTTTTATTTTAGAAAAAATCGTGCAAAAATAGGAAGAGAGTAATCTGATTGGATGTTTTAAGTTTTTAACTATTTTAACTAAAAAAATCGACATCCCCAAACAGAGCCTAAATATCGATACGTTTATGCTAGTCAAGAATATCAATCTCTCTCTTTGTCTCTTTCTTTTGTTTTCTTTTCTTTTGTTTTTATTTTTGTATTTATTATTTTATTTTTATTTTTTTTGGGGGGGATACATCAGAAAAACAATTGAACAAAGGCCCCATGCCCTTTCCCTAATGATTCATTCATCATCAAGATGTCCTTCGATTATTCAGCCTCAATAACTCAGTCTCTCATCGCTGAAAAACATTCTAAAAATAGAACATTCAAAGTTGGTTGGGTGAATATTTTTTAGTAATATTTTTTTGTTGACTTTTTATTTAGTAAAATTTAAAAAATAAAAAAATAAATTAATAAACTCTCCACTTTTAAGATAGAGAAAATTTTACTTTACCCCAGTGCTTTTATGCATGTATGGATTACCTCATCTCATTTGAAAATAATTATATAATTATCTTATTATTTGTAGAATAAAATATACTGTTAACATTCCGTTTAACTTAATAATAAGTGTGACATATAACAGACATAAAAGGGGTTATATACACATTTTCAAAATTCATAGGAATAAATTACACATGGAATAAAGTACAAGGGGTTAAATTGTATTTTGTCTCCTAAACAAATGATAAAAATATTCATAGTTCACACATTTGTGTTACTTATAAATAGGGTATTATAGTCTTTTTCATTAAATTGTTAAAAAACCTAACATTGCATTTCAATCCACAAAATACAATGGAGTTATATGATCATTTCTAAATAAGAGGAAGATAATTCACACATGAGTCAACCCACAAGGGGATAAAGTGAAATTTGTACTAAGCCATATTAGATTAGATTCAGAAGACTTTAAGGTTTTTTTTTTATTTTTTTTTTAATTATATATATTTGGATAGAGATTTGAAAAGAGAAATAAAAAAATATGTGAAAGATAATTATATTTCATTCACATTTTACTTATCTTCCATTTCTTTTACTATGAACCAAACAAAAAACTACAAATTACAAAAATATTTTTTTAATGAGCTGGTATTTTCATTAATGGTTCCATCGAAGATATTTTCCACTGCGTTGATATTGATTTGTGTCTAATTTAAAATGTGGAGAGTCAAGGCCACCACTTTATTTTTCTTGATATTTATGAGTAATTACAAGAAATTAAGGTTTCAAAAATAAAAATTTAGAGATAAAATATTTTTGTCTTCAACACTATTATTATTTTATTTTTAGCGATAAAATTAGATATTTAATTGAAAGAAAAAAAAATTCAATCAAAAAAAATTTCACTTAGAAAATAATGTTTGGTAATTTTATTTCACTATATAAAGTGATGGGCAAGACTAACATAATCATAACTTGGACACCCTATCTTTTTTTCTTTCAACAATCATACTTGGTTTGATTAAGAAAAAAAATGAGGTGGTTAGTATGCCTGTTCCACTTTCTTTTCTTTACCTTACAATGTCAACTATAATGAAACATCAATTTTTCTATGAAAATTTATTTAAGTTGAGTCATTCAAATTTTACGACGATGATAATGGAATGACAATGAAACGTTTTGTGAAAATATTTCTTTTTGTTGATCATATAAGTGAATATAGCCTATGGGGCCACAAAGGCCGAAATGCTTTGGCGTCCTAGGGGCCAAAATGTTTTAAGGACCATAAGGGTCGTTAAGGGTTCCTAGGGACCGAAATATAGAAATGAAAATTGAAGTGCTATGATGACATGAGTTATGTTCCTATGGACATATTTTGGGTAACGGGAGCGTCACCACCTAAGTCGCGAGCTAATGCGACCCTAAGGCTATGTAATGGATTGTATGATGGATATGAGATTTTAATGTATTGAAAAGTTGTATTTTGTTTTAATCTCCTTGTTCCAAATGTATTCTACTGCACTATGATATTTTTTGTACCCTTTTTGACAAAAATTACCATGTGACAATGTTCCCATTAATTGGTGCCACATGGTGGTGGAAGATAAAAGTCAGATTTTGTGGGACCTACAGCCAAGGTTGAAGAAATGGTGACGGGAGTTAATTTATTTTAATTAATTAAATTAGCCTAGTTATTGGGTTAATTAATTAATTAATTTAGATTTGGTTTGATTAGATAAAGTGGGCCTTAACCATTCCTAATAATTAGGAGGTTATTGAGGGTTATCTATTGAAGCTTATCTCCTAAATTAAAGACTCATTCCTTATTATTAAGGCTGAGGTCTTATCTTGGAACCTTATCTAAGTTAATAAGTGATGATGCTTATAAGATTTGTAGATCTTCAATATTAGCTATAACGATGGAGTCGTTTTGTCTGAAGATCAAGGTGAACTATTTTCTTTGGACATGTGGCAGTTTGATATGGCGTAAGGGATCAAAATAAGCCATAATCAAGGAATTATTTTCTAAGTAAGGCAAGATTATTTTTTGAATTCCTTGAGGATAGGCATGCATAACAAAGAGAAGGAAATCCATGCAACAACAACGGAGATATCTAGCCATTTTGCCTTCTTCTTCACCCAATCTCTTATCTCCATCATCTCCTTTGTTGTTGTGTTCCTAAGTTGAGATTATTGAAGAATCTAAGCCTCTCATCATATTCTAGAGAATTTGAAGTTGTTCTTCAAGGATCTTTGAAGATCTTCGAATTTTCCAACTCCTTTCTTGAACCCTCTCCTACAGTTGGACAAGAAACTTCATGGAATCACCATATGAAACTTCTTGCCCTTCGTCGTGGCAATAACTTGACCAATTATTAAATGTGATAGACTCAACTCAAAATTATAAATTCATCTAATTAAATTCATTTCAATTTTATTTAAATTCACTTAAAATAATAATTTAATCTAACAAATTACATCTTATAAATCTAATAAAAAATTAATTTAATCTTTTAAATCTTACTACCGTTTTATATTTTGTTTTTCTTTATTTATAAATTATGTCCTCTCTATTAAAAAATAAATAAAAAATGTAAACCTTTCAATTTTTTGGATTGATTTATACGCAACTTCCATTACATCATAGTAATGTAATCATTCGCTAGCCCCAAAAATTCACTTTCGTGTGATTCCAAAATTGGAGTATTAAACTTCTTTTAAACTATTATTTTCGTAGAAATCTCAAAATAAATTTTATTTCACGTGGTTCCAAAATTGTAATACAAAACTTCTTTCAAACTATCACTTTATACATCTTAATATTTAAATGAAGGATGATTATAAATTTTATACATCTTAATATTTTAATTTAAAATTTATTTTTTGATTTGTATGCAATATTAATAATTAAAATTTTTTATGCAATATTAATAATTCATTTTTTTTTTGTAAATAAATTATTAAGTGAATTAATGATTTTTAGTGATATGAGAAATATTTTTTGATGAACAATTTTGATAATTTTATTGTTGCATAGGAGAGTAGTTAGATTTTTTTTTTTTATACAGTTAAATTAAAAAATTAAACAAAGAGTAGTAATAATGAGAACTTTAAGTATTTTTAACATTAAAAGCTGAAACTCTTACAGATGAGTATATCATTGCAAAAATATTTATTTTCTTGATATATTTTCATGATTTTTCTTGATTTGAATCTGACAAAGCTATATGAGTTGATCAAGATTAGGACTCCTTTGTGGATGAAACCATTCTTAAAGGTGTTCAACTTTTCAGTTCAAGATTTTATTTTCAATCTGAGGCAGATCAGGATGTGTTTGGGGAGTAGAGTTTTGATTTGAAGTTGGGGTGGTCACAATAGAGTTTTGATCTGAATGTGTGTTCAACTTGTTTCTCCGTTTTCTGTGTTTGTTGGTTTCTCACAAACATTTAAGGGGTGCTAGCATATGACCGGGTAGCCCTCGCGGTGCCAACCTTGTTGGGATGACATGGGTCTGCTGTGACGCTTTTTGCATTTATCCTCTTTATTGATATATCTTCTCTAGTTGCTTGAATATTCATCAATAAAATTCTTTTTTGGCTGATCAAAAAAAAAATAAATGAGAAGGTAGTGAATGAAACAAATATTGAACAGGCCATGGTAGTGAAATTATTAAAACATCTTCCTCATTAATCAAACCATCGAAAAGTTTAGACCTACAATTGCAAACTCATCGTGTTTGCACCCACTGCTAGTAATAATATAAAATTTACTTGCATTGTTCTAGTAAATCAGATAAAATCAATTGTTTTACAAGAACATGATATATGCGTATATATATATATCTTTGTATGATCAAAACCAAACAATGTATAAATAATATAAATAAAAAAAAATAAAAACAAAAAGAGGAGGGTTTGAGGTAGAGATGAGAAAGAAGATAAAACAATACATACCCGAAAAACAAGTAGAGCTCTGAAGAAGACAAGAACATGGTGGAGAGTTGTTAGTAATGGGCGCCCATGTGGCATGACCATTAAAATTTGATTTTAAGGATCATGTAAATTCCATGAGGTAATCGATCCGAAACATCCATGGTGTTTGATTGATAGTAGATTGTGATGTTTCAAGGTGTTTGGTTATTTTAAGGTGTTTGATTTTTGAAGTTGTTTGAATTTGAAAAGATGTCTATAATTGTCTGTGATTTTATTAATGTTTAATAAATTTAGGAGAGTAATTTCAGAATACATAAAAAGTAAAAAACATGACAATTTGTCACACTTTTATAATAACTTAAATAAATTTAAAAAATTAATTATTTAAAAGTTAGAGAAAAAATACTTTTTATTTTAATTTTTTAATTATTAACTTTTAACCTATAATAAATTGTAAATTGCAGCTATGCTCAACATTTATAAAGCCATACAAAACATTATAATTATGTTATGTATACTATGTTGTGATGTATTGTCTTTCTAAGTATACACGCAGTAGATGTGTCATACTTTTATTTCGTATAGCATTTTAAGCGGTTGATTATGATCAATATTTATAAAGTCAAGTCTTCCTTGATGAGTAAAAACACGTTACATTTGCCTATAGCATTACAACCTTTGTTTTTGAATCTAGGAGCAAAGATGGTCTCTAACAATCAACTTTTTCACCTCTTTTTGTTTCTTTGTTTTTTCTAGATTACTTGTTTGCATGCCCAACTCTGCACTCAACAACAGACCTCTGCATTGCTCCAATTTAAGCAACAATTTTCCTTCAATAAATCTGCCGATGAGGACTGTGATTCTGTCGGAATCCTTTCTTACCCGAAGATGGAGTCGTGGAAGGAGGGTTCTGATTGTTGCTCATGGGATGGGGTCAAGTGTGACAACAACACAAGTCAAGTAATTGGCCTCGACCTCAGTTGCAGCTGGCTCCTAGGCACCATCCAACCCAATAGCACCATCTTCTACTACTTTCCTCACCTCCAAAGGTTCAACCTTGCTTTCAATGATTTTGGCATGTCTCAAATCTCATCTGAATTTAGTCGATTCACCAGATTGACACACCTCAACCTCTCTGACTCTAGTTTTTCTGGAAAAGTCCCTATAGAAGTCTCATTTCTGAGCAAATTGGTCTCGCTTGATCTCTCTTACAATTATGATTTGAGGTTGGAAGAACCTGGATTTGAATTACTTGTTCAAAACTTAACCAAGGTAAGAGAACTTAATCTTAGAGATGTAAACATATCTTCAGTGGTTTCGAATTCCTTGCTCAATCTGACTTCTTTAACACTTCTCCATCTTTCTGAATGTGGATTGCGTGAAAAATTTCCTGATGGAATATTCCATTTACCACATCTGAATGAGCTGCGTATACCATATAATGATGCTCTCGCTGGTTATTTTCCCGAGTTTATAAACTCGAGCAGTCCTCTCCAGTACTTGGTGCTTACACGCACTAATTTCTCTGGAGAACTACCAGACTCAATTGGGAATTTGAAGTCCTTGAAAACGTTGTATGCCGCTCGTTGTAAATTTTATGGAACCATCCCTACGTTGCTCGGAAACCTTACGGAAATGACTGGTTTAGGCATCGGATATAACAATTTCACCGGCATGCTCCCATCTTCACTTTCAAACCTTGGAAATCTCGTCGTCTTGAGAGTTGACAGTAATAATTTTGAAGGTAAAATCGCAGATTTTTTACCTAATGTAAAAAGTCTTCTTTATTTACATGTTGATTCAAATAGCTTCAGCGGTCCATTTCCATCATTGGGTGCAAACCTAACAAAACTTGTTGAGTTAGGTTTGTCGAACATTCAGCTAAGAGGACCTCTTCCATCACAAATTTGGACTCCACAAATAGATAAAGCCAATATTTGAGATCAAGTTCAGTAAATAGAATTTTAATATAATGACTCTTCTAAGATAAGAAGGAAACATTGATGGATTAGGAATTCTTTTGATAGAGTTTATCTGGCCCTCTTCTCTCCTCTATATAAGGATGGGTGACTCCCTTTTCATATCATGAGTATCTTCAACAGCCTTTAACCAAATTTTACTTTAAGCGTTAGGGTGATGTCACTAAAGAGTCCTTTGGTCAATAACCAAGTAAAATCCCAAGAAGGTCGGAGGAGTCAATATAGCCTCCCTTCTAAGTCCAACCACCTTAGATAGCAAGCTATCATTTTGACAGATCTTAAGAGGTATTAACACAAGATCTCATAAGTAACACGGAAAAAGGCATAAACAATATACATATTAAAGCTTTGAGAATTATGATGAACTATTGATATCACATAAGTTTTTCCTTTGGGCAACACTTAGGTATATCTATTGTCCACTCGTCAAGAATCACTTATGTAG